ACAGACTTACCAGGCTGGTGTTATGGCCACTGACCGGGGCCTGCAGACCTTGGGGGTGTGAGGGCCTTGCCCAGAGCCCCCCTGGGGTCTTGTCAGCTGCTCTCTTGATTTGGATGCGAGTGTTTTATTCCTGCTGCCGAGCACTGTGGCACAGCACTCCGAGTTCTTCTCAGAGTCTGGCTTTTGAAATTGTGGGTGGGTAAAATAGAACAGCTTTTAAAACACAGTGTCCACCTTCATCCAGTGCCAATGAAAATAAAAGGCCCCAGTGATCGTCTCTGTTGGGCACTGCAAAGGGAGGGCACGCTTCCTTGCCTGACTGCCATAGCCCATCCAGCCCGTGGTATTCCTGAGCCAGTTCTGTCCATGCCAGCCCTGCACTGGGCCATGCGAAGACAGCAGTGGAAACTGACCTTGGCCTGGCAGGGTTTACATAGCCAGGGCCATAATCATGTCCACTCATGACCATGCTAGACCCAGGGTCAGTGCATGTGCTGACCAGAAGAGAACCCAGGCGAGCTGTTCAGCCTGTGGTATGTGAACATAACACTGAGATCCCTAGAGGTTCTGCCTGTTGCTATAGAGGTATGTTGAACAGTGTTGGGGGCTCCATGTGCGGTCTCAAGTGTGAACTAAACACCATGGTAGTCCACCAGGAAGAGGAAAAAGGTGTCTGGGTTCCCATTCTGATGAGGACAGAAGTCCCTGAAAGAGGAGTTCTCGGGGCTTGGGACTGTCCAGTGCAGGGTCACCCTGAACGTCACTGTTTCTTGACCTTGTATTGAGCAAGCTCTCACAAAGCTTCCTTTTAACGGTTGCTCTCCAGTACTATTCTGTGTAAAGCTGTTTCTTCTGATGATTGCTTAATCCTGTTCGGAGAGATTTTTAGCAAAGTAGGGAATTGTTTGCTTCCTGTTTAAAAGAAAACCATCCTTAGAAATAGCTGTTACAAAGCATCGCTGTTCAGTTCTGCTGTGTAGTTGATAAGTATCACATTTTGATAGTCTCCATGACCAACATATTTTGTTGTGTAAACAAGTGTGTGATCTCATTAGAACCTATTTTAACTTGCAGTTGAGAGAAAAAAATCAGTAACCAGGTAGAAGTAGATTGCTTACAAAAGTATTATTAACCAAAATTCATCAAAAACAATCTCTTGTAATCCTGTTATTAGTGATGCCTTGCTAAGTACAATGACGAATTCTTCACTTAGAAAGTTCTGACTCTTTCAGGTAAGCACAAAAGCTTCTAACATTACATGACCAAATTCACATCAAAGCGTTTTCCTTTGGTCTAGTAAAAAGGGGATTGAATTCTTCAATTAGAAAGAGATTAAATTAACAATTTTATTTCATTAAAGTATTAATATTATAACTTTCAGTCAAGATGGATTTTCATGTGAGATAGATATTGACCATAGTTAAAAAGTGCAATGAGCCAAAGTATTATGATACCACGCTATACCCACTATGAAGGCTATAGCAATTTAAAAATAGCCACAAAATAAATGTTGGCAAGAATGTAGAGAATTGGAACACTTGGCCTTGGTTGGCTGGAATGTAAAATGGTTCAGTCGCTGTGGCAAACAGTCTGGCACTTCCTCCAAAAGTTTATCACAAAATCATGGTGTGACCCATCAGTTCTATTCATAGGTGTGTATCCAGAAGATCTGTAAACAGGTGTCCAAACAAAAACTTGGATGTGAATATTCTTGGCAGCATTATTCACAATAGCCAAAAGATGGAATAACCTGAGTGTCCATCAATGGTTGAACAAAACTATGGTCTCTCCATACAGTGGAATATTTAGCCATTAAAAGGAATGAGCTCGCCGGGCTTGGTGGCTCAGCCTGTAATCCCGCGCCTTTGGGAGGCTGAGGTGAGTGGATTGCCTGAGCCTGCGGGTTCGAGACCCGCCTGGGCAGCAAGACCTCATCTCTACAATAAATCAAAAAATCAGCTGGGCATGGTAGCGCGCGCCTGTAATTCTGGCTACTTGGAAGGCTGAGGCAGAAGGATTGCCGGACCCCAGCAGGTCGAGGCTGCAGTGGCCGTGAGCATGTCACTGCACTCCAGTCTGGGTGACAGAGTGAGACTCCAACTCAAAAAAACAAACAAAAAAAAGGAATGAGCTCGACACACATTATAGTATAAAGGAACCTAGAAAACATCACACTAAGTGAAAGAAGTCAGACATAAAATGATACCGATGGTACAATGACATTTCTATGAAATGTCTGGAATAGACAAACCCAGAGAGAGAAAGCACATGAATAGTTCAGGGGGTTGGGTGAGGGAACATGGGCCCGGGGCTTCTTTGTGGCATGATGCAAATGTTCTGGAACAAGATAGAGGGGACCATTGCACAGCATTTTGGATGTACTAAATGCCACTGAATTGTACACTTTAAAATGGATAAAATGCTAAATTTTATGTTGTGAGTAGTTGTACCACAATAAAACAATGATATTGCTTGAGCTTTGAGGACTTAATATCCAAACAGTTGGAATTGAAGTGTCTGAAGTAACATCTCAACAAGGCCACTGAGCAATTAGGGGTGTACTTCATCTTTAACTTAACCACAAGAATCTCACAGAGTAAATGTATAGGGAAGAGTGTGTTACTGGGGAGGAAGTTTCAAGGGGAGAATGTTGAAACTTTCTCTGCCATCTTTCAAAAGTGATTGGAAAGTTGGGAATAATATCATTGAGGTATGTTTGATATTTTGAGTTTTATAAAGGGGACAATTAATTCAGTCCAATGTATCCCTTAAGCACATAATGGCTTGAAATGATATTAGGAACACAAGAGAGATCTTTTTTATTGCCAATTCCCTGGTGGTTCTGGGCCTCTCAGTAGAACTCAGCTGGTGTTTGCTATTCAATTCACTCTTCTCAGTAGGAGAGATCTTGCTCCTGATTTAACATAAAATATCTGGGACAAGGGAGAACACACAGGTGGAACAGGTCATGGGATGAGGGTCCCTGTCCAGAGCTTTTATGTGAAAAGATGACTACAGACTTATGTTGTGGATGATTGACACAGGCCTGTAATTTCCTGCTAAGTCTTAATTGTTTCCTATGACTAAATAGTCTGCAATATGCTAGACACACACTTGGAATTTAATACTCTATGAAACCCAAGAGCTGCAGGTTTGAGAACTATCTGACCAGTGGCAAATGTGAAGTCTTTAAACGAAGTCCAAGCCAGGAATGAAGCCCACAAGTTGTTTGGAAAATTTATGCTGTTTTGGCATGTTCCATGATAGCTCAAATATTAGCAATAATTTATAGCTCTGTCTGTGCCCCAGTGGAGACCTTCAAGCTGGAACACATCTTCCTTTTCCTTGTAGACTGTCAAAACCACGGGTTATGCTAAAAAAATTGAGGACAGAAGTCCAGCAAAGCGGCGATTTCTCCTGGGCTAAAACACAGACTGCATTAAAACCACATGTGGCTGAGCACTGCCTGGCTGGCCAAGCTTTAGGATAAGACCAAGGCGCCGCGTCGGGTGAAGGCGTGTCTTCAGATGCACAGGCCTATGAGTCGAGGCGGCATGCTCCTGGGGCTTCTCCAAGGACCGCGAGAAGTCTCGCAAAGGGCCTGAAAGATTGTTGGTGGCAGGGTCTCTATGCGGCATCCCTGACCATCAGAGCTATGGCAGAGTGACCAGTGCCTTCGGGCTGGGGCCCAGAGTGCCATGTGGTCCTGGGCAGCCATCTGCATATAACTTCCAGGGAGTCAGAAAGTCACAAGAAGGATCTCTTGGAGTCAAGAGGGCCTCTAAGCTCCCAAGGCACAGGCACTTGCAGTTTAAATCTGGAAGCACTTTATATTACTGGGAGGGCCAGGTTTATGAGGTTTTGAATTCAAATACGCCACGTTGCGTGATGGTCTGAGGAAGGAAAGCGTGTTCTCGGGGTGTGCGCCTGGGTGAACCACCCCGGGAAGCACACACTACAACTTTCCTTTCAACGGGGGTCCTCGGAATGTGCATCATCATCCTGGGGTCACGGAAATGGGCCTGTGTTCAGGCTGGGTGCACACCCTGAAGCCCAGGGCTGAAGTCTGAAAGCACCTTCAGGAAGTGATAGACTTGGTGTTTGCAGAGGCTTAGTCCAGCCTTGATTGTGTAGACAAGAGGCATGTGCGGATCTTAAGTGATGGATTTCTGCATCCCCGAATTTCCTAATTAGCTTCTTCCAGAATGAGGTTAGATATGTGCTCACATTTTCAGACTTTCTGCTTTTGCAGGTGTGTTAAGTCCTGGGGATCCCTCTCTAGGCAGCAGCAGCGCACAGTGCTTCATTTCAAGTCATGATGGTACAGGAACGTGGATGTGGGCACAGAGATGTTTGGGGCAGAGGAGGAGGCCTTCTGAGGACGGCTGACTCTGTTATCTCCCTTATGTCAGACTCTGCATGAAGCTTACAAGGCGGGGCCTTAGTGTCCATTTTTGATTCTGGGAACTAAGACACAGAGAAGAAATGTGTCATGCACTCCTCTTCAGGGAGGTCTCGTGCGGCGGGTCCTGGGTCCTAGTCAGGGAAGGTCCTTTCTCGATGGGTCCTGCAACCCTTCCCAGTGGTCCATTCCATTTGGTCTGGTTTGGGTGTGGCCTCTCTAGATGCTGCCTGCTTGGCATCTGGACTTGGTCCAGGTGGACATGCATGGCTGTCCCTGGCCTGGAGAGTGCACCACACCAGGCACATGGTTGGCATCTCTTCATGGTCAGCAGGTAAGTTCCCCCCATTGTCCCTGAGGAAGCTGAGCAAGCATCCCGGCCTCGATTTGGACAGTGTCTTGGTCGATGTGTCCAGTGACCTGGCTCTTTCTGTGGGGTGAAGCAGGATGGCACCATGCGGGCACCCACCTCCTATGGCATGGCCCTACCAGCCACACGGTCTTAACCCTGCATGCTCTCATGTCCGTCGTGAACCATTCCCCCTGTTCTGCCTCCACCCTGCTGCATAACCGTACCTCTGCTGGCTCTCTCCCACAGACGTGTCTAGGTGTGTGGCTGAGAGGAAGTACACGCAGGAGCAAGCGCGGAAGGAGTTCCAGCAGGTGTTCATCCCAGAGTGTGACGATGATGGCACCTACAGCCAGGTATGTATCCCTGGGGCTGTGTGGTGGTGGGGAGACACATACAGACAGATATCTACCCCCTGGGGCCTGCACTGGAGCTAGAGGTGGGGACACCTACAGCGATATACGTGCCCACTAGGGCCTGTGCTAGGGCCAGGGAGGGGGTACCTACAGCCAGGTATGTACCTGCTGAGGGCTGTGTGGTGGTGGTGGGACACTTACAGACAGATACACACCTCTGTAGGGCCTGCACCTGGGCCAGGGGTGGGGACACCTACAACCAGGTGCACACCTGCTGGAGACTGCATGTCTGGGAGGGGACACCTATAGCCCCCTAGGACCTGTGCTAGGGCCAGGGAAAGAGAAACCTATAGCCAGTTATGTGCCTGCTGGGGCTTGTGCAGCTGGGGGATCACCCTCAGGCAGGTACACACCTTGCTCGGGCCTATACTGGAGCAGTCGAGAAGGGGATACCAGGGTGAAGGGGACAGGAGAAGAGGTGGGGTTCTAGAGAGAAGCCATTCTCTGCATTTTTGAGGTCAAGCCCCAAGCAACTTCATTGGCATGAACAACCATGTGAGTGAATGTGCACGAGTTTCTTGGTGGGCACGGGCCTTGGCACCGCTTACTCTAGGCTCTGGTCGTTCATACCTGCATCACCGTAAGCTCAGTGTGGGTGACTTCCCCAGGAGGCTGACTCAACTGGCTCACCTTGCTGGCGGCTCAGGATATAATTCCAGCCTAGTTTTAATTACAGGCACACACACTGACAGTTGTCCGGAGTCTGTGCCAGTGGCGAGTCCTGACTGTTGGATCCAACTCCATGGGCCCACAGGTCTGGTTTAGGCTCACAGTCCCACCGAGGGCAGTGTAGGGAAGATAACTCCATCTCTGTGCAGGGATGTTGGTACTGTTATCCTTCTGAAGGAAAACAATTCCTAAAATCCAGAGCGCTCTCACACAGTGGCAGAAGGGCAACACAGGATCTGCGATGGCATAGGCCTGGACTTGCCGGATGGTCCTATGGGCTCTGTGTTTTCACAAGTCGTCTGACCTTTGAGAGAAGAGAGAGACACGGAGACCAATTGGAGCTAAAGGAAGTGCCTGATTCTGGCTGGTGGTGGCCTGGGGGCAGGGAGAATGCAGCAACAGGGGATGCTCAAGGAGACTGAGTCTCCTCTCCCAGTTCTGCTATGGGCTGACCAAGACGCTTCAGCACGTCTCCTGACAACTTCAGGCCCCAGTTTCTCCATTCATAAGATGAGGGCTTAGCCCAGTCTGGAAGGTAGTGAGGCTTAGATTCTTCACAGGCAAGGTGCCCAGTGCAGGCCAGCAGTCAACACAAGTGTAGAGGTCACTTTCACCTCCAAAGTCTTGGGGTTAGGGTCCTCGTGCTTTCTTCTGCTGAGATCCACATGCAGCAACTGAGGAATCCCTGGTGTCCTGAGACTTTTCTCAGTCTACAATACCATGGGCCGGATCCGGTCTCAGACACGCGACCCAACACAACACCCAGTCTCGGAGGCTCACCGTGTCCTGTCCTCTCTTATAGGTCCAGTGTCACAGCTACACCGGGTATTGCTGGTGTGTCACACCCAATGGGAGGCCCATCAGCGGCACTGCAGTGGCCCACAAGACGCCCCGGTGCCCGGGTAGGTCTGATGTGCCTTTCTGGCAGGATGTTCTGTGGGAATTCGTTTGCTCTTTCTCCAAACATCCTGCCTGTGTCTACTCACAAAATTAAAAAGGAAGTTGAGTCAAGGTAGCATGGTGGGCAGTTGTGGGAATGGATCTAGGGTGCTGGACAAAGCCTAACTATTAAACTCTTGTTTTTAAGAGGAGAAGAACTCAGGTATATGTGTGTTCAGATGGCCAGAGGACAGCTTACCCGGAGACACCCCCAGTGTAAATCACGGTTGTGGTGACTCAGGAATCTTAGATTTAAAAATAACCACAAGGTCTTGTCATCACCAAATGTTTTCATTGGCCAAAGAAGTGAAAATGTCTGGCTGTGTATGTATATGTTTTCAGAGAAGAAGTAGGTCATTCTTCATAGGTAAATTTCCAAATGGTTTATTTGTGTTATTTTCTTACTCATAAGAAAGCTTAATGTACTGAAAGTAATAAAATTAGCAGTATAAAAATCCAAAAAATATTTTCTTTTTCACTAATATTTTACTAAAAATGCTATACATAATTTAGATCATTTTTATTTTAAAATAATCTATAGCCCAAGTTTGATTAATTTGTTGGGAAGACTTATCAGACCATCTATGAAGAAATTTCATGCTCTATCCATCTTCCTGGATTGTACATATTAGCATAGGCAAAACATATCATTGTATAACCATAGTAAAGGGTGAAACATCTTTCCCAGTTGTTTCTTTTTTTTCTTTTTTGGACTTGTGGTCTCATACTCCTGCCCAGGTTGGAGTATAGTGACATGATAATAGCTCACCACAGCTTCGAAGTTTTAGGGTCAGGTGATCCTTCTGCCTCAGCTTCCTGAGTAGCTGGGACTGCAGGCACGTGCTGCCATGCCTAGATAATTTAAATATATATATATATTAGAGATGAGGTCTTGTTGTGTTGCCCAGGTTGATCCTCTCCCAATTGTTCATGTAAAATATTGAAACTTTTGCATTTAGAGTTTACTTTTAGATTTATTTTCTACTTAAGGACCAGGCTTCTTTCTTATAATTGGGAATTCTGTTGGTTATTCGGGCATTTATGACATATCCCAGAGCCAAGGTACAGGTTGGAATGCATGACACCTATGACTTTTGTAAGAATGATGGCATCCAAAATCAACAGTGACATAAGCCTGACATTTCAAGTGACTGGTCATCACTTAGAAGCTGTGGAGACTGCATGATGTAGAATTAAAATATATTTATTTTTAAAACCTGTTTTGTCATCCAGAGTCTAAAATGTGCCGAAAAAATAATTTTAGTAAGCTGACCTTTCTACCTTACAGTTCCTCCACAGACTTATGGAGGAAATCGAAAGAAAAAATCTCCATCACTAAGTCACTAAATCCGTGTGTCGCTCACTTTGAAAGACACTGTCACATGCCATTTTATTCTACCCATGGGGCAACATTTTGAGTTGAGTCTTATTTTATGAAGAAAGCAGAGGGATGTCCAATTCTGTGGTTTTAGTGATACCATCTGAAAAATTAAGTAGTATCTAAAAGAACTTTCTTGGAAAACCATGTGCAGAATTGGTGGAGTTTTGTAGAATTTCTAAAGAGTGACTTTTTCTTGAATCAAATAAATGCACCATTTACTCACCTTACTTTTTCCAAGTATCAGCGATATTTTACTGGATATAAATGCTCCTTTTTTTTCTGTCCATGTTGATTTTTTGGTCCAAAGAATGGACTGGGGACAAAGAATGCACTGTCATTTGGCTTAAAAGTCTAGTGTTCATTGCATGTACACCACAAGTGTAGTAGCCAAGTGTTTTAGAAGAAAAGTATCAATGTAGAGGGGCCGTTTCCCCTGGAAGACGACACTGTCTGGGAGCAGGCCCTGGCTTCTACACCGGGGTAACTGTTTCTGCGTAAAGGAGTGCTTTCCATGTAAAGGAGTGCTTTCCATGCTGGGTAGTGCTTTCCATGCTAGGGAGTGCTTTCCACATTGGCCATGGTTCTGGACTGTGCTTCAAATTGGCTTGGCACATGTCCTTTGACACCTGCTTCACCCAGCTGGTGTGACTACTGTATTCCATGAGTCTCACAGAGCTGTATAAAGTAGCCTTTTAATTCCCAGCCATGCCTGTGCTTTTGTTCTGCCATGTGGGCATGGAGAGTTGGTGCTTGTTTGGGAATCATGTTGGGAACTTTCTAGGGCTGTGGTGAGTAGGTGAGAGGACTTGGAACTATGGGCACTACTCTTGAACTGGCAGCATTTGATAAAGGAGGGAATTCTAGTGACCACTGCAGGTAGAAAAGGTGTTAGGGTCTTTAGTAGTAGGGAAATACAAACTAAAACCATGAGGTTCATGATGGGCAGAAATGAAAAGCTCGACTCCGACTCGCTGGCAAGTACAGAGCAGTGGAAGTTCCAGTGGCTGGGCAGCATCAGTGGCATCACCCTTGTGAAATCAGCTGGCCCCTTGCCTGTGGGTCTAGAGGCCTGGCTACTGCAGTCCAAGAGTGGGCCTGGAGAAAGGCGCTCACATGAGCAGCAGGGGACATGCGAGGCTGTTTCCAGCAGTATGCATTGCGGCAACCAGATCCTGGAAACAGATCTGTGTCCCTTGGTGTCAGACTGGATACAACATTGTATTTTGCTTGATTTGTACTGTAGAATACCACGTACCTGTGAAAATGAAAGCACTGTGCCCACTCAATCATGTGGTGGTACTCAGTCCTCATGAGTGAGAGGAGCCACAAGTAGCCAGAGCTAGCCCAGGGGTCCATCCATGGGACGCAGAGCCAGCCCAGGAGTCCATCCCCAGGAGGCAGAGCCAGCCCAGGAGTATGTCCACAGGATGCAGAGCAAGGCCACAGGTTCATCCACAGGAAGCGAGCCAACCCAGGGTTCCATGCACGGGAGGCAGAGTCAGCCCCCTGGTTTGTCTACAGGAGACAGAGCTAGCCCAAGGGTCTGTCCATGGGAGGTAGAGCCAGTCCATGGGTCCATCTACAACACAACAGATGAAACTTGGTGAGAAAAGCATCCCTGGGTGGTAAACCGCCAAGATGAACAAGGCAGTGATTCTTACACATGCTAGGTGGTGGTTATGTGTAGGAGAGGGGAGTTTTGTGCCTGGAAACAGGGCATGTCCTGTGGACCCCTTTTCTGGCCCTGAAAGCTGTTTTCATGGATCTTGGTTGATAATAATGTGTTATGTGTACGTTTATGTTTTGTGTACTTTTCTGTAAGTGTATAAATATTTTAGGAATTTAAAATGTCAGAACATGCAAATACCATTGAAGTGGGTAAGGCCCTGGCTTTGACTCTCTCCAGGGATGCATGTTTATCTGGGATGTGTTGACAGAAGGAGGGGCTGCCTGCCTGGGAGCTGGCAGAAGGGGAGAAAGGAAGACGCAGCCTGAGCTGAAGTGGAGGGTAGGAAGGAAAGATGTAGGGAGAATTGGGGGAACAGCAAGATCATCATGTACCATTGGGGGTGTTGTAGAGCAGAGGAGAGACAGACTCTCAGCGTCTATGTCGTGATCATCATGGCCATGGAGGAGCACCAGCCACACGCTGATGTTCACCAGGGCCAACGCTCATGGGAGCAGTGTGTGGATGCCTTACTAGCCCATCTGTAGGCATTGTGTCCTCAATTCCACAGATCAGAAAACTCCCCAAGACCTCTGTGCATATGAGTGGCAGAACTGGGTTCATTGCCCACCTTTCTCCCCTAAATCCCATAGTGTCTAAATTGCTGGGCCTTGAACTCCTTATTTATGAGAAATAATGAGATAGAATTATATCTTCTGACTTAACTTCCAGCTCTGAGGTTCTGTGACCATGTGATGGTTTTGTCCAGGCCCTGAATGTGTCTGGTCAATCCGGCAAACTGGCTCCCAGCAGTTGTCCTTAAGGGACAAGAAGGCAGGAGCTCTTTCCATCCACGTCCTGCCTCCTCAATGACTCTGAAACACACCCTTCAGTGAGCTCCTGGCAAGTCAACCTCCTCTGATGAACGCCGGCCTGGAGAGGAGGAGCAATCAGCACAGATGCCACAGCCAGGCAACACTCTGCCTCGTGTTCTTCCTAGCCAGTGCAATGTGCAATCTCAGAGTGGAGATTGAACCTAAGAGGCAGAGAGTTCAAGGCCAAGGGAAGTTTGGGGATATCAAATCCAGTTCCTCTACCTCTCCTGATACTAGTCTCCTACGGGTTTTAAACTATTCAGCAATGGTGGGATTCTGAGAAGGCTGCCTCCAGCTTTAATAAGTGATTGTGTTAGCCTCCTGGCATCTAGTGCTCCCACAGAGCCTCCACACTCGCCCTTCCCTCCAAGAGGTCCACTCATCGTTTATTGTTAATTGATTACGGTGCTCATCACCATCCACGGGGAATTTTCCTGGCAAGGAGCTCACAACCAGGATCGACACAGGCACTGGCAGACAGCTCAGGCCAGCTCCAGGCAAGTGTGGGGACAGGGTGTACTGACTCCATCCTACAGTGTCCACAGCAGCCTCCTGGAGGAAATGGTTCTCGAGACACAGTGACAAGCTGGCAAGGGCGGGAAAGGGCAGAGCTGTCTCATTTCCACCATTTATCTTTAAAGGTCATGCCGTGATCTGCCTTTTTTTTGACAGGGTCTCACTCTGTCACCCAGACTGAAGTGCAGTGGCACCATCACAGCTCACCGCAGCCTCAACCTCCTGGGCTCAGGCAGTCCTTCTACCTCAGCCTCCTGAGTAGCTGGGACTACAGGTGTGCACCACTGCACCCAGCTAATTTTTTTGACTGTGGTAGAGGCAAGGTCTTTCTATGTTACTTAGGCTGGTCTCAAACTCTTAGGCTCAAGAGGTCCCCTCGCCTTGGCCTCCCAAAGTGCTGGGTTTACAGGTGTGAGCCACCGGGCCAGGTCTTTGCCTTCTCGCTACATTTGCTCATAAGCCAGGTGTGGAGGAAGGTGACTGAGGACGATGAAAGGTTTTTGAGGAAGAGGGGTGAGGTCTGTG